GCCATTATGCCCTTATTTTCTAGTTCGATCTCGAATATCTTAAACCAAACTTCTGGACTGTGTTCCATGAAACTTGGAACAGCCAAAGTAAGCATGGTGACGCTGTGAAACGACTCAGATGCCGCTCTCGAAATGTGAGTCGAAAGATAAAGAATGAACAAAATACGATAAAAGTACTAAAATTACCCAAGAAACAAATGAATATAGGTATATAATCGAGAAATAGGTAAGAACTCACCAAAAAATACAAACGAGAAAAAATGTTGAATTCACGCGTGCGAATCGGGGTCACCAATTTATAGGACTAGTTAATACTAGTCCGAGACGATGCGCGGAATTAAGCGCGGATATCAGAAGGCAATTGGAGTCGGCCACATCGGACTGTATTCGATGGGCTACAACAAGAAACGGACGGATGAAGCGAGGCAAGAGCGTACACGTGAGCGCGGGAACTTACAAGGCAGTTGTGTGTCGAGCCGGTTGTAAGATTAAAACAAGAAGGAGTAATGTACAATCGGTCAACAAGTAAATTGTACATGAAAGATAAGAGTTATCTTTTTGGGCGCTACAAGTTTCAGCATGTCCGTGACACCCTGAAACACCGATAGACAATGAATCTGCGGATTGACCGGGAACGTTAGTCTGTTGCAAGTGCCTGTGAGATTAGGAAACCAATGCTCTTCCTGGTCATCCGGAACACGGCTCCAGGCCAACTCTCAGTCATTGAGACAACAGCTCAGAAAGACGGACAATTGATTCATTGTAAACCGCGCCGACCAGACCGTTGAACGAACATTCTGACCAAAGTTTAACTGGCTTATTGAGACACTGCCGCTTGCTGAATTAACTGAATGCACTTTGATAGTTCATGTCACACTTTGAAAGAAATTAGATGTGAACTCGCTGTATTGTAACGAAACAAATCTCATGGACTCAATGGCGTAATTCCATCTTTGCTGGAAGATGAGGTCGATCATCACTGTTCCACCTTCGGATTACCACAACCGTTGACAAGGAAATAACAGCCGGATGATCACTGAACAGTAGATGACATTACGTCCTCCAAATGTCAAATATACGTGGCCCTTTTACGGGATGCGGGAGTGTGTGCGATTGCTGGTCCTACCACTGATGCATGCAATAGGAACAATCTATTCTCAATATTCTTACGGTTTGTCCACATGACACGAATGGCTCATCACTAAACCAGGAAAATTCTAGACTTCACCCTTTTTACCAGTAATCTCGACGGATGATAGACGCCTGAGCACAGAGGCTTCATATACCCCTTCATTTCTGTACTCCTCTATTATACTTGAATGTTTTGCCCCTCAAATTTCTGCCTCCTCTAATATCGTTAAAAAACCCCACCACACATAGACCATTTCCTCTACTTCTGATTAACGCAAGATCTATCAACATCAAGCTTCACTTCCTAAATATGATTGTACCATTGAGTATTTCAGCTGCATTCGCCGGCACGGAAATGTGATGCTCTACTACTATGCTGGATTCAACTCTTGCGATCCCCAACTATATCATAAAGATCGCTTCACAAGACGTAGAGGCAGATGTATTATATATCTCCACTGAGTACTTACAGTGGTGCCGCTTAACCACCATGAACTAGAAAATGCCTCTGTATCTGTGTGGTCTATTGTTACTGGTGTTTCTCATAATATACTCGACTGCATCTACAACCCTTTCGAGTGCCCCAACCAATGATCGCACTAGATTTCGCATCAGTTTTTCATTGCGAATAGAACATAGTAATCGGGGACTTCACTTTGCTAAGAATATCATGGTCACTAAATCCGTCTTCACTCTTACGTACAGAATTGCTGTCGACTGTTTTGGCTGGCGAATGGACACAATGTGTTACAAACTTAGTAGGTCATCCAACGTATTTCATCTAACATCCACTTTGGGAATCGTCGACGCAAACATCGATCTGCTGGACGGTCTCCCTGGCAATAACCACAAAGTATTATAATCTATTTTCATTATCAGCGTAAACATCAACCTTGACCTGCTCTCACAATATTCCATCCAAGGAATCAGTTGTACACATATCCAACTGTTAACGACAATTCGGTGTTGGATTCCAGCGACTCTTAAAATTCCCGGGTCAGTACAAAACTCAAAGCCAGGTACTGTTTTACAGAGCATTAAGACTACAATGTCATATTGACCTCAACAATGTCCAGCTCAAAACTAATATGCAGCAAATCTGTCGTCAAATTGTAACATGTGACAAGCGGCGTCAAATTGAAGTATCAGTCAACCGAAACGCGACAGTATAACCGCCAGACTGACAGAGTTGCGTTCAGATGTGATTTAAAATAACACGATCGATAATCAGTCCGCAGTACATGTGGGAATGCGTCGTAGCGTTGATTCACCGCGTGCAGACACCTGAATGCATAGGTGAGCGTCAACGCTCAATTTCCCACTGTGCGAACGTCAGCGAATAAAGGACAACGGTTGGGACTGATCAGAAGGGGCTTTGCATGCGTGTGGTAGAGTTGCTTCAACTATAAGGTTTGGAACGTACTCAAAACAGTAACATGCTTGAACAGTCATAACGTCCGTAACACCAACATTTGGTCCGATCTTCCGACTTAGGTGCATTTTTTCTATCCACCATCAGTAACACTGTTCTACACCAACATCAACCATGCCGTAACGCATCTTATTCCCTAAAAGAAGCGTGCTTCTCATGGCTCTAAGATCACAAGTCAGCGCCTACTTGACCTGAAGACGCGAACATTGCTAGCTCGATTTCACAAGACTGGCGACTTTCTAACAACATTACAACTGCACCACTGAACTACTAGGATCAAACATACACAATCGATGCAACTCAAAAACGCGGTAGAAAACGCTCTACAGATGGGTAGCAAAACAAAGAAACTTTTTGCCATTCATCCTCGCAAATCCAACAACTGATTTCCCTCTTTCACAGGACGAATGTATGAACATGACAAATCCATTAGTGACTCACTTGCCCTCTGTGATGTGCTTATCGCATTCTTCGCTGCCTTTATTATTTTTGGATCTAATTCCATACCTACGTGCCTTAATCCATAGCGACCAACAGCCTATGCCGCTTCGAAATTTCTCGCAGTGGTATTCAGCAGATAACGGAAATCTTCAAGTCTTCTCTTAAGTGGGTCTCCAACGGCACCCATTCAACTGCCATTAAATTGTGAGGGCCCGATTTACTGGCTATTTCCTTGATTATTAGTAAACTTCGTTAATCATACTACGTCACAACAAAGGTCTCGATTTATCCTAGTCCCACAATCATCATTTTGCTTGAAATATTAATCGAAAATAACTGATGGAATTCTTTAATTCTCTAGGTCTGTGTTTCACATCTCAACATGGTTTCATCGATAGACGTTTTTGCACAATATGCCAGCTCCATTACCTTAATTACACATCAGAATCCATGGACTCCAGATTTGTAATCCTAATTTTATTTCTGGACTTAGAAAAAGCATTTGACAGTGTACACATAGAATACACACTACAACTCTGGCAACTATGAATGAGGAGAAATCTCACTGCCTTGGAGTTACCCCAAAGCCGGGCAACCAAGAATGTTAAAGGTTTGTATCATTTGCCGAATGAACAAAGGCTTCGACTGTTCGGGGTGTTCAGTGGATAATACGGGTGAATACTTGAGGATCTTATTTCGACTTACCGGGTTTTGAGAGCTCGCGTCATTTCCTAGAGCTCAGTTACTACAGTAACCTAAGAGTGCACATTTTCAAGCTGGCAGAGCAGTGCAGTTGTTTAGATTGCCGTCGGAATTTCTTTTCCGTACTTGTTTGCCAAGCGTGATATGTCCTACTAGAAACTATCATCTGTGCTCCCACACTGGTAGAGTTCAAAGCCCGCCACAGTTTATCTAGAACGCCAAGTTGCCTCATTAGTTCGTTGATGTGGTGGGCGTCTTGGGAACAACCAGCTGTATAGTTTACTGTGCGTTCCTAGTTCGGTTAGTTACCTCGGGCCAGAACACCAATTCTATCATTCTGATAAGGCTGTGGCTGGCTCCCAGATGGGCACGATCAGTTTGTTTCGGCCTACCACGGAGCTACAGCGGGATAAAATACTAGTTTTGCTGTATAGTAAACTATCGTATGTGGTGAGTTAGTTACTGGAGATTAAGCAGTGGGTTATCCGCTTGACAAGCTAGCCTTTGCCTCTGATTAATATTTCGAGTTTACTACTCGAACCATCGCGCACATTGTCACCGACTCAATTTGGCGTCCTATCTTTTTTTCGGCGCTATTCCGTTTTATTTCGACCTCTATCTTTTCTTAACGAGGCCCGGCTGCCGACGTCTAAGCCCTAGATTTGTCGTCCGCGATGAAAATCCGTGCATCTGACGAATATACAATGGTCGTTTCATACTTTTAAAGTCGGATACACTGAAGGTTACCAATACCCGATTTAACACAATCGTTTACTCTCACCATTTGTAGCTTTTGCGAAGTGCATAGTACGGATGTCATTTCTTGTTTTTCACTTTGTATTTACTGTGATATTTTATACTCCGTGAACTAACGAGATATAAACGCTGATTCTTGAACAGTATCTTGTCGCTGAAGCCTAGTGGAGTTCTTCGTTCAGCTTTACTTTAGCTAGTGGCATTTCGTTCGACTCATTACAGTTCGGATCGATGGCTTCTAGCTCAGGAATACTGGGCGGATCCAACACATCACTTTACACATTCTTTACGAAATCGAACTCGGGGCCTTTGCACATAATTCGTCTGAGATAAACACTGCGCCAGTTAATCACATTTTCTCACTTTGCAAGTTTTCCACGCATCATTCTTTTTCCGGTGCCCACACCACTTTCTTATTTGCCCTGCGGCCCTCATCCAAACATCATTTTGCAGCATGTAATTTCGTCTTTTTGATTTAACAGGAAAGCGGAAATTTCATTTTACTTTTGATGATGAAACAGAGTTGGTGGAAGAGTACGATGCGAAGTCACACTGCTTATTAGGTGAGTGTCAGTGCTATCAGTGATGATGGACTGCATGCAGCTCGAAAGTGGAAGCGGAGAACTCCACTGGGTGGCGAGAGTAGATGGGAATACGAAGTCGGTGAACCGCCGATACAATTCAGTGTCGCGGACGAGATCACAGAGTCCAATACAAACGTAAGTGGTTTACCCTAACGTCGGCTTACTCCCATGTCGCAGCCCCGCTTCAGCCGAATGGACACCATAAAGGCGTTTCAGTGGCGTATTCGGAACTTACCGTATCCACTGGACACATATTCCATCAAATTAGCTGACAATGGACAAACTTTGGAGTTGAAAACACGTAATAACAAGTAAGTTAAAAGTTAACCGACGAATCACAAATGTCCAGATATTACAAGAAGTTTGATATACCCGATATGAAAAGATTAAATCTTCCGTTGTCGCAGGAAGCAATCTCAATGAGTCACGCGAACAACACACTTCTCATATCGGTACGTTTCACACGTTCCCTGATGATGTTGCTTCGTCTATTTTGTCGTGCAGTATGCAAAATCGAATGAGGTGCTAGCATACGAAAAGCTCTTGAAGGATCATTTGTCCACTGTAAAATCGATAGACCAGGATCAGGGGGATTGCAAGACAAGCTGACTTCGCTCCTTTTCCGCTAGTCTAACTGGTGATTCTTCCTTGGTCTACTTCTGTTTCACTGATTTGTACATAAAAACTGCCTTATTGCTGAAGACTTTTTTATTTGTCTTTTTGTTGAGTGGATTTTCGGATTAGCATCATCCTCACAATTGACTTGTCTCAGTGGCAACAAGGTACGTGGACGTGGCAATCGACCGACTTGAGATTACTGATTACTGGTTGGATGCAGCAAGTAGAGGTTTCTCTGTGTAGCTGCATCTAATTTAACTCGGAGACAAGGACTCATTATGTTGCGGTGCGCTCGATATATTTTATATATCGGCGAAGTTTGTCCAGGAATTTCTTAAATTCCGACACCGACTTTGCCTCACCTATTTGCTGCTGCAGGTCGTTTCATACATTAACCACTCTCCGTTCGAAACAGAGTTGATGAGCGACCCGCTTCAAACCCGATACGACAAGTTTGTACCGGTGTCCACGTGCGCTGCTTGGTGTGCGCACATGAAGCAGCGTCCTCAACATGGGGTAATCACCCAGATGTAATATCTGGTGTGTGATGATGAGGTTAACCCGCAGTCGAAGGTAAGGATGTAAAGCCCTAGTTTTTTACACCGGTCTTCGTACGGCACACCTCGTAAATTGGGAATCAGTCTGGTGGCTACATGATGCACTCGCTCAATTTTTTCTATCTCGCTGCGGGTGATAGGACAATACACGGGAGAGCCATACTCTAGCATTGGTCGTATTATTGTGATGAAGAGACGAGTGGCAATCTCATCGGACCAAGTGCTGAAGTTGTGCTTGCGCACAAAGCATACCAAGGCTGTTTTGGTAAGGCCTGTTCGTGTTGTCCATGGACTTTAGGTCATAGCGTGAGAGTACACCGAGGTCTCGCACGAAAGGCGCTGGACGCTAGGATTGACCGGCCACAGTGTAGATTCGACTGTGCTCACACTTTGCCAGCCTCATGAATTGATACTTGACCGGGTTGATCGGAAGTTTGACCTCCGCAGATCACGTTGAGAGGCGTTCGAGGTCTTGCTGAAGCAGGTCACAGTCATTGGGTGTGCGGATTACTCATCACACCTACGAGTCATCTGCGAACAACGCACAAGGTGATTGGAGTAGCTGAGGCACATCGTTCATATGGATCAGAAACAAAATCGGCCCTATTACTGTGCCTTGGGGCACGCCACTGCCCGATGGATACCAGTAGGTTAACTGGTTGTCAATTTGGACGCTCCACTTTCGATCAACGAGGAAATTTCTGATATATCGATGCAGCGAGCCGCTAACACCGCACACCCTCAGTCTGTCGAGGAGCACAGCATGATTTACCTTGTCAAACGCCTTACTGAAGTCAATATAAATGACGTCGACCGACTTGTTTTGGTTCAGCGCTTGTAACCATTCGTGCCTCGTCAAGGAAACCATGCTGTGTGGGTGCCAAGAGGCTTTTCAACTCGAGAAGCTGTAGAGGACTCTTCTTCACCATCTTCTCGAGTGTCTTTGCCAAAACAGCGGTCAGGCAGATCGGCCGGTGGTTATGCACTTTGCTTGGGTTACCACCTTTCGATATTGGTTTTATGACTTAGCATTTCCAGCCATCCAGTAATAGTCTAGTGGATAGTGACCTGTTGAAGAACTCAGTTACAGAAGGCGAGATGATGGCCGATAGGGACTTGAGGATCAGTGGGTGGATTCCATCTGTCCCGGCAGGCTTCGTCCCGTCAAAACTTGCCAGAAGCTTGCGTACATCTTCAATGCTGCAATCCAGGCTTAGTTCATCGGGAGCGGTATTCGTCGGACTCGTTACAGACACTTGGTCATGTGCAAATACGGAAGCGAAGTGCGCCGCCAATGCGGACGCACCATCTGTGCTCGAGGTTAGGGGCTATCCATCTGAGCCTTCCAACACTGGCACATTGACTGCAGGCCTCAGGTGCCGCTTCACGTAGACGAAGGTCTTCTTGGGAGCAGTTTTTGCGGCAGTTACAAGCTGCTCTTCGAAACTTTTGCGCTTTTTTGTTTTCGCGTTGTTGCAGAGATTTCGCCGTACCTTGTACGTATGGTAATCCTCATTAGAGCCAGATAACGTATTTGTTTCATAGTCTGCGTCGTCGTTGGGCCAGTTTGCTGTACTCCTTGTCGAACCAATGTAGCTTGGACTGGCCCAACTTTCTGACACTTGATGGGTAAAAATTGGGCGCACAACGATTTCACCCCCTCTAATGGTACTCTAACAGGTTTCAACAGACGAATCCTATGGTAAATACCAGTCCATCTGGCTCGCTGCTCGAGTGAGGCTACTATAGTCCGCGCTCCAGTAGTTGAAGGCTGGCTCCAGCGGGGGCGAATACGGCAGCCGCAGTTCCAAGCTGGCTATGATCATTGAGTAGTCTCTCGCTCCCAGGGGCTCCAAGACTTGAACGTCATGCACACGTTGCTCACAGCTGGTCAACATCAGTTCTAAGCACGATGGAGTCGCACGCGCAGTTATGCGCCTCGGTTGGTTGATGATCTGTGTGGCCCCGGTTTGAAATATCAACTCCGTAAACTTCCTCTTGACTTCACATAGCCGGGGAGAAGTTCAGCATCATGCCACTGTATTCGTAGTAAGTTGAAGTCGCCCATGAGTCGGAACAGCTGACGACGCATATGGTGGCGGACATTCGGCAACCAGTCCAATCAGCGGCTTAATGGACTGCGATATAATACGCCTACGAGCAACTCGCAGCGTCTGATGTGAATCGAACATCTTAACTACTTACATAGACCATCAGCGCTTCGGTAGGTGCTCACTAGTCTCCCACACAAGGAAGATCTTATGCAAAGCAGAACGCCACCGTGATCATTTGGTGGTCTATCACAGCGGAAGCGCGAGTAGCCGCTGATTTCCACTTCTTGGGCGGTTACCTCGGAGTTTAACTATGTCTCAGCAAGGCCTAATACGTCTGGCCGCTGTGAGATTACAAAGTAGTACAGCTCATCGCGTTTGTACATCAGACTGCGGACCCGCTGGGCGCGTCTAAAGAATCAGTAACCTATTGATCCGGATTCGCGGAGGAATTCGGGTGACTACCCGAAAATTTACAATACGGAGATTTGTTTCTCCATCGTCCGTGCGTCGCTTTAGTTCAATCATCGCAGAATTGCATTTCTTTCTGTCTGCTGGATCTAAGTCAGCGCGCACGTGGATCTTCAGACCTTTCAGCATATTAAGGCGGGACAGCATTAACTTAGGACCTGTCTGTTTGTACAAAATTCACCCACATAGGTCGACTTTTGCCCTCGGTTCTCTTTCTTAAACGAGCGATGTTTCACTTTCAGCCCGCCCTCATCCACGTCCAGCGGTTCATCAATCCGCGTTTGCAAAAACGAAGGATTGGAATCACAGGATTCAGATGCGTGAAAGACCATGAGACTGCGGCGCCTCAGGTCGCTGGATATTGTTCTTGGTTTCTTTGGTATTTGCCTTTTCTATTCGTTATCACCGCTTTCCTTATTGCAAACCAGAGCTTAAGTGTCAACCGAAGTAATCGTAGGCCTTGCCGGAGCGCTAGGACTTTGTTCCAGGAATAGATTCGCTATTGTAATAGGTGTTGGCTGTTTCTCTGATTGTGATGCAGGACAAATCGAGCTGCGCTTTTTAGCGCACTTCGCTTTACTGATCCGCTTGTCAGGCTTTTCGGTTTCATTCTACCCAAGTTTAGACTGACATCGCTCACAAATTGTCTTCAAAAAGTCGTGCTGAATGCCTTGAATTACTGGAAATTTGTCCATAGACAGATCAATACCAGAAATATGTAACTTTACGCTGCATAAACTGCATGTAATCGCATTTGCGCGGTCTCACGAATTGGAATCAGCTACCACAAGGTGTCTGCTTTGCCATTTCAAAATTAGGTGTTCGCATGTTCTCTGATTTGTCACGTTCGTTATACTAAACAAGTTTCACTGCGACCAGATTAACTTTCCATAGATCTCTTATCTAAATGAACACGAATAGAACACTATTTCTATCCTCAAATTTCACCTCACTGCGCTGTTGTCGTTTCGCGACTTATTATTTTAACTCCCAAGGTGGTGTGCTCCGGGTAACTTTCTTGTTTTCTTTTGCATACCTTGATCTTGCTAATCTTTGAACCCCTCACTCATGAAATAGCAGTAGGGTTCTCAATCACTCAGTCTTCGCTTCCCTTTTTATCTAAGCTCGCAGCTCTTTCAGAACGAGTCCTCAACCTCATCTATTACTGACGAACGAATGAACTGCATTCTGATCTGAGTTCACTACCGTTCCATAAAGAGAGAAGGTCTTCATGTCTGCTTACGCACCTAGTCTGAGGCATATGGGTAGTGGGTAGATTTCCAATTTCTTCGTTAACTTAACCGAGGCTAAAAAGAATATCCAGCTTAGTACCGGTTTCACGCTTTCCACAGCATTTAGAAACAGCTTCCTATTATTGCTTATTTCAATTTTGACCTTTTGCATTGGGAAATTTCAAAAGTGCCTCGGATCGTGAGAATACCATTGAAAACGTGAATGGTCAATTCCTTTTCCTTCGCACAGACCAAATAAACCTATTACAACATTTGAAATGTTGTGTGAACATAACGAACAATTGACCATTCCATACAATATTTTCCCTTCACCAACTTCGAAATAGCAATAGACTGCATTTTTATCAATATAATCTGACCTGTGTCTTCTCTTCAACTGTTTACACGTTGATTATATTTGTACACAACCTGCCCATTCCACACAATGTATGGAGGCAGCTGATGTGAATACACTAAATGACTGAATTCAGATTATGTTGTTAAAATGTGGCTCTTGGCCTTTCAAAATTTGTGATGGAAAAATCCTGCATGAAACTTTTAAGGAAACGATTGGTTTATTTATTTCGCTTTTTGGACAAGTCAAGCGATTGCATTGCTCGTGATCAAATACATGTGGATGTTCATCGTGAATGTTCGCAGAATTTCATTGACCCACACCAATATGTGTAGTTTTTACGTAATGAAAATCTACCGACCAGCTTTCGACGCTTAGCTGGGTGCCATATCGAAGCCTCTGTTCAGCTCATTGCTGAC